TAAAACTTTAGTAATTGAGATAGCTTTCTACAGTAAAACAAAACATAATAGAAAATTGGGAAAAATGCAGATGCAAACTCATACATATATGGAATTTGGATTTGAAACATGCATGTTATCATAGGTCAGCTTTATATTAAAAGCTTGATAACAGTTACTTATTCATAGGCAAACTGATATAATCTCACTCCTACTGTATACCATAAAGAAAAAAATTAAAAATGTATTACAGATAATATTCCAGATTTTACTGGAAGAGAATATCTTAGAAATTTGTGGTCTAGAAACTTTCTCTTATTTATTTTCTTAGTTTTTTTATTTTTAAATTACAGATATAAATTATGCTTTTTTAAAAAATATTTTATTTATTTATTTATTTGAGAGGTAGAGTTACAGACTGTGAGAGTGAGAGACAGAGAGAAAGGTCTTCCTTCCGTTGGTTCACTCTCCAGATGGCTGCAATGGCTGGAGCTGCGCCAATCCAAAGCCAAGAGCCAGGTGTTTCTTCCTGGTCTCCCATGTGGGTGCAGGGGTCCAAGCACTTGGGCCATCTTCTACTGCTTTCCCAGGCCACAGCAGAGAGCTGGATTGGAAGAGGGGAGCCAGGACTAGAACTGCCACCCATATAGGATGCAGACGCTTCAGGTGGAGGATTAACCTACTGCGCAAAGGCGCTGGCCTCATAAATTATACTTCTTTAAAAGTTCTGTTCGGCCGGCGCCGCGGCTCAATAGGCTAATCCTCCACCTTGCGGCGCCGGCACACCGGGTTCTAGTCCTGGTCAGGGTGCCGGATTCTGTCCTGGTTGCCCCTCTTCCAGGCCAGCTCTCTGCTGTGGCCAGAGAGTGCAGTGGAGGATGGCCCAGGTGCTTGGGCCCTGCACCCCATGGGAGACCAGGAGAAGCACCTGGCCTCTGCCATTGGATCAGCGCGGTGTGCCGGCCACAGCGCACCGCACCTGCTACAGCGCACCGGCCGCGGCGGCCATTGGAGGGTGAACCAACAGCCAAAGGAAGACCTTTCTCTCTGTCTCTCTCACTGTCCACTCTGCCTGTCAAAAATAAAAAAAAAAAAGTTCTGTTCATTAAAATCAATACCTCACGTAATTAAATGAAAAAATAGAAAAGGAGATATTATTTATCAGACTTTTGACAAGTGCTGGGCTCAGTCTTTGAATTTATAAGGAATTGCCACAAACTGGGGCAAATGTTTGTTGCAGTAGTTAAAATGCTCCTTGGTACATCTGTATCCCAGAACAGAGTTCCTGAGTTAGAGTCCAGGTTCTATTTCCAATTCTAGCTTCCTGCTAATGTGTCCCTGAAACACAGCAGGTGATGGCTCGAATAGTTGGCTCTTGGCTTCATCCTGGCCCAACTTCATGGAAGAATGTATTTGCAGGTTTCCAGTTTAGGACTTGGGGGTTGAATTACGTTGCCTCAAAATTCGTATGTTGACATCTTAACCCTTAGTACTCAGGAATTTGGCCCTTTATTGCAGAGATAATCAAGTTGACATGAGGTCACTAAGATGAGTCTTAATCAACCAGTCTTACAGTTGGTGTCTCTCTAAAGATTGGAAGTTTAGAGACAGAAGTACACAGGTAGAACATCATGTGAAAAAGAATGCAGGACAAAGAAAGCAGAAGATGCCCTGGAACCACTGGAAGTTAGAAAAGAAACTTGGAACAGATCCTTTCCCACAGCCCTCAGAAGGAAGCAGCACTTCTACCAAACCATTGATCTTGGATTTTTGGCTCCCAGAATAATCAGACAATAAATATGTTTATCCATCCAATTTATGGTGTTATTTATGGCAGAACTAGCAAATGAATACTGGACTATTAAGAGTAATGTTCTTAAATCCTTTTTCATATATTAACATGTATTTATGATGGTTGATCAATAAAAGTAGATCTGGTACATCATAGAAAGTCTATAAGCTCAACCTCAGTACATAATGGCAAACCGGTTTTAAAGTGTCTGTGACAATTTACTCCAAGAGTGTGAAGGGTTTCCCATTTCTTCATGTTTTCATATGAAAAGGTATTACAAGTATTAAGACTTAATTTTGGCCATTTTGATGGGTATTTGCAATATGTCATGATTTTTGTAAATAGACCTATAGATACTAATGATATTTATGATTTCATCTTGACCTGATTACCTCTGTAAAGACCTTTGCGACATCTAATATCAAATTCTGAGGCTTAATCAGCACTTAAGGCATTCAGATCTGCTTGAAGAGCCCATGAGTGTATTTTAGGCATGGAAAGCCAAGACACTCTGTGGGGGAAAAAAAAAAAAAAAAAAGACCTAAATGAAAGATCTCTGTGAGTGAGATTCCAGTAGAAAAAACGGGGCCGTCAAAGGAGGTACCTTTCTCTGAAGGGAGGAGAGAACTTCCACTTTGACTATGACCCTGTTAGAATAAGATTGAAGTCTGCGAACTCAAAAGGCTTCCATAGCCTTGGCAACTCATGACTAGAGCCTAGGGAGATTACTGACGCCATAACAAGAGTGTCAAACTGTCAAGTCAACAACAGGAGTCACTGTGTACTTACTCCTCATGTGGGATCTGTCCTTAATGTGTTGTCCAATGTGAAGTAATGCTATAACTAGTACTGAAACAGTATTTTACACTTTGTGCTTCTGTGTGGGTGCAAACTGATGAAATCTTTACTTAATATATACTAAATCGATCTCCTGTATATAAAGATAATTGAAAATGAATCTTGATGTGAATGGAATGGGAGAGGGAGCAGGAGAAGGGAGGGGTGCGAGTGCGAGGGAAATTATGGGGGTGGGGTAAAGCCATTGTAATCCATAAGCTGTACTTTGGAAATTTATATTTTCTAAATAAAAGTTAAAAAAATTCTGAGGCTTTTGGGATTAGGGCTTCAACATATAAGTTTTGGAAGAGACACAATTCCACCCATTATATCCTAAATCAGAAACTTCCCACATGTTTAACAATACTAGAATGAACAATAAATTGTGGTATATTACATTATGGAATCCCAAACAATATTTTAAGTGCTAAACTATCATGTTATGTAATGACAACTTTTCACAAACATAGTTAGCAAAAGAAAATAGATGTAGGCCGGCGCCGCGGCTCACTAGGCTAATCCTCTGCCTGAGGCGCCAGCACACCGGGTTCTCGTCCCTGTTGGGGCACCGGATTCTGTCCCAGTTGCCCCTCTTCCAGGCCAGCTCTCTGCTGTGGCCAGGGAGTGCAGTGGAGGATGGCCCAAGTGCTTGGGCCCTGCACCCCATGGGAGACCAGGATAAGTACCTGGCTCCTGCCATTGGATCAGCGTGGTGCACCGGCCGCGGCGGCCATTGGAGGGTGAACCAACGGCAAAAGGAAGACCTTTCTCTCTCTCTCACACTGTCCACTCTGCCTGTCAAAAAAAAGATAGATGTGAGAAATAATAAATATTGTATGATTATATGTAATTCTAAAATATAATTAAGATTAAAAATGGTCATAAAAGCCAGTATAATGATTAAGTTTGCAGTGTGACTAAAGGTAGTGATAATGAGAGGCAGCTTCTGGACATTGTTCTGTTTCTTAACTGGGTGATGGTTGTGTAGGCATTGGGTTGTGATAATTTATTGAACTGCATATATGACTGTGCTGTACTTCATTAAATGTTAAATACGAGCTCTCTAGATAGGTTTATCATTCTATGTTTATATGAGTATGGGATATGATATAGGTGCACACACCAAACTTATGTTCACTACTTTGAGAGCAAATATACAGAAGTAAGGAAAAGCTATGACTTTTTTAAATCCCTCTTTGACCTTTAATTTACTTTAGGAAGCATATTTACTTTTAACATAAAATAATAGAAAATGTAGCAAAATTTAACAAGATGCTTATGATAACTGAGAAGAGGAAAATTTCTTTGAAGGTCACACTTAGACAAAAAGGGAACTTAGTAAGATTTGCCTCTATACAAACTCTACTGCCATATGTTTGGAATTTACCAATATTATGTTAAATATATATGCCATAAATAGAGAAATAGTAACAAGTCAATTTGAATAGTTGAGCAGCTTATTGGACTCTCATTAACTTTAATTTGAAATTGAGTATCTTTCAAAATAGTGTACTCAAATGGTAATAAAAATTTAAAGTGGATATCATAGTTTAATAAAAAGAAGTAAAGCATTTCCAGTAGTTCACATTTTCAGCTAATTATTAGTTTAATGGAAACATTCTGTCCATTTGAAATCTCACTGATAGTTCTATCATACCTAGGAACTAAATTTAGGTTTTGAATTGGTTGTTTCTAACATTTTGTGTTTTTCATTTATATTGGAGTCTATTCAAATTTAACTTAACCTAATAAATGCTGTTTTTTTTCCTATACATTTCATATCATCCAGTCTTGAAAAAATATTTTTCAAATGTACAAAAATAGGAAGGTGGATACATGTGCTACTTGCTTTGCTTAATCTCTGCATGCTTTAGGAATCAATGTTTTTAACTCTTTAAAAGTTTGTCCTCAAACCTTTGTATGAAAAGGAAGGTGCTACGTTCCTTGATTAAAAAAATGATAAGCACTTGTTTTGAGCTCAATTAGGCAGTACTATCCTGACAGGGCAAAGTCGAAAGTGCTGAATTGAATGAGAATCAAGCGACTTCACAGAAAAGGTGGCACACCAATTATTTCCCTAATCCTAGTGCTAGCTCTGGGGGTCGGGGGAGGGGGGTGCCAGGCTGAGTTACAGACTGGCACTCTTGCCTGTGGTCTCTTAATCTGTTTTGCAATTTGCTTCTCCCTCAAGAGTGCCAAGGTCAACATTTAGCAAACACTAATAAATCATTAATTAGACATTTGTTTCAATGTGGTTAAAAATTGGAGAGGGGGGTCAGTGGCAGTAGCCATGATTTTGTTAATTATAAGGAATGATGTTTTTTTTTTCAAAGCAAACAATATTTGCCTCTATTTTCATTTTTGCAATTATATTTAAAAAGAAATGTAAACAATGACTTCTCATGTCAAGAATATCTTCATGAAATTAAAAAATACTAAATTTTATTTGAAAATGTGTATCTTTTGATAAGCATTGTTGCTATATAATTGTTTTGTTTTGAATATGATTGGTCCTTTCTGAATCTAGTGTTAACATTTGATTGCTAATGTGATATTGGGAGATGTGGTGTGTGAGTGGTAAATGGGTTATTAAGAGAGATTAATATCTTAATCATGGGTCTGGATTAGCTCTTATATGATTGAATTAGTCATGCTGAGGGTAGGGTAGCATAAAACCAGGCTAACCTTCATGTTTTGTCTCTTCCACAGGCACCTGCTGCTTTCTTCCCTGTTAGGATATAGCACAATGCCTTCACCAGATGCAGCCAGCCAGCTTGGACTTCTAGCCTTCAGAACTGTAAGTTAAACATGCTTCTATTTTTTAAGAAGTAATCAGACCCAGGTATTCTATTATACCAACAGAAAATAGACTAAGGCAGTGATAGACTATGAATATGAAAAACATATAAACCCCAGTACCACAACCAAAAAGCATATGTTGAATCTATATTATGGATTGAGTACTTTACCTGGGCTATACTGAAAAGTCCTATGGAAATACAGGAAAGAGAAATCTGTATATGAAAATAAATCACTTTAAAATAGTTCTGATTTCTAGCATTATGTTCTTCTTAAATGAGTCATTAAATAAACATAGTTTAAGTATAATTATTGAACTTTGAAGTGCAGAAGCCCAAGCACTTAGGCCATCTTCCACTGCTTTCCCAAGCTATAAGCCAAGAGCTGGATCAGAAGAGAAGCAGCCAGAATACAAACTGGCGCCCAAATGGGATACTGGTGTTGCAGGCAGAGGCCTAGCCCACTATGCCACAGTGCCAGCTGCAAACATGATCTTTTTCTTACATTTCTCATATATATCAAAGTGACATAATTAGCAAAATAATCAGTATTAAGCTCTTCTGAGAATTTTCATTTTTTCAAAAAACAAGTACTTCATAAGCAGAGAATTTATCATAACTTCCAAATTCATATGGACTTGCTCATATCTGATAGGAATTCCATGAAGAGAAGACAACAATGAAATTCTTTAAATATCAGATAATAAATGGGTAGAGGATTCATTGGCCAAGCTTATTATATACAATTTTAAAAACATTGGTTAAAGGAAAGGAAAAAAAATGCCATCCCAAGTGATTCAGTTGTTCTCGAAACCATAAAACACAGCAGAAAGAGGGTAATAATTCACATTGATGTATTTTATTCATCTTACAGAAACACATGGCCATAAAATGTTACTGACTCAGATAAACACATAGCTTGTGTATTAGTCTCTTGAGTGCATCTATTATAAGCATTAAACTTTGTATGAACTTGACTTTCTACACTTTGTGTAGAGTTCTTGCTCTCATAATACCTTTTCAGGGTGAAAACCACAATACCATTGCAAGTAACATCTGTTCACAACTGATTCAATGTTTTCTGTTCAGATGATACTGCTTCCCACATCTTGTCTTCAATAAAATTCCAATTCAAAAATGCATACAAAAATCTAAAACACAGAAGAAAAGTTTTTAGTATTTAATGTTCAAGTTCATCAAATATTAAACATTTCTTTAAAATGATTTGTTATTTAATTACCAAGTCAAACTTTTTGAGTAAATGCTCAAGAATCATAGTAAATAGTAAATGAACAAGAATCATAGCTAAATAAATTTTGGAAACCTTCTCTTTGTCATTATGCAATGCTACAGGAAGAAAATGAAGTATTTCCTCAGTATTTTTAGTATAATTAAGCCACTTTCTCTTTGACTGATGGAGTGCAGGACAATACTTGAAAAATAAATATATAAATATCATCAGTGATCTGCAAAATTATTTTATAAGAATTATGAAAAAATGTTGCAAATTAAAATAAAGTTATGTTTTTTCTAAGACACGAAATCTCAATTTTCCACTTGAAGACTTTACTGAAAGAAAATTCTAAGCAGTATTTTTTTTACTTTTTTCGGCGGGAGGGGGGGCAGGCAGAGTTAGTGAGAGAGAGAGGTCTCCCATGCAGGTATAAACAGTATTTTTAAAATATTTATTTATTTGAAATTGTTACGAGAGGGACAGAGAGATCTTCATCTGCTGGTTTCCCTCTCAAATGGCCACATTTATTTGCTGTCTAAATCTCTGGCCCTTTGTTTTCATACCATAGTTAAATGTTTGCATTTTTCCAAATATGTTTCCTCAAGAATTTTGCATTTTTTCCTTATGCCTAGACTTCCCTTTCTTTCATTCTTCATGGTCTAATCAACTCTGGTATGTTCTTGTACTGCTTGTCTCTTACCCAGAGTTAAGATATTCCAACCCCCCAAAATTAGCTAAACTGCCTGTGATATATGATCTCAAAGTATCATTCCACTTAGCATATATATTCCATTTAATCAGAATTGAATACTCATCTTACTTTTCATCTATTGCTTATGTCACCTAAAATGATTGAAAATCCTTGCTATGTCCTGTGTGTTGATGTGCCTTCATCCCTGTTGTGATCTCAGATCCTGGTGTAAGTATGACAAATTCAAATGCTTTCAAGGACCAAATGTGTAAAGAAAATGTGTACATTTAGAAGGCACTATGTCTTGCAAGTATAAAACTGTTGAAATGAGTAAGGCAAATCAGTATATATCTATAACATGTAATGGTATTCAAATTACTTTTTAAAGAGTTACGTTTTTTAATTTACTTGATTTTTTGAAAGTCAAAGTGACAGTGAGGGAGAAAAAGAGGAGAAGGAGTAGGGAGAGAGAAATTTTCTACCTCCTGGTTCTTTCCCTGAATGGCTGCAACAGCCGGGTCAGGGCCAGGCCAAAGTCAGGAGCCAGGAAAGCCATTGGTGACTCTCACATGGGTGGCAGGGATCCAAGTACTTGGGTCATCCTCACTGGTTTTCCAGGTGCATTGGCAGCAAATTATATGGGAACTGCATCAGCAGGGGCTCCAACTGGCACTTGGATATCGAATACCAGCATTGCAAGCAGCAATGTAACCCGTTGTGCCAATGCACCTCCCCCAAAGTGGATTCTTACTACATTAAAGACAATATTATATATTTAGGTTAATAGTTTACAACCCTGTAGTCAGCCTTTCAAATGTGTATATTTTGGATTAGTATTATATATACACATCATAGTAAGTTATCAATGAAAATTCCTTAATTTTATCATCTAGGAGCAGGAGTTTGGCCTAATGGTTATAATCCTAGTTATGAAACCGAAGTACCACATCAGGGTGCCTGCATTTAATTCCAGCATCAGCTTCTGGTTATAAATCCCAGCCAATGCAGATTCTGGGTGGCAGCAGCGATAATTTCAGTATTGGAGTACTCACTGCCCATATGGGGAACCTGGATAGAGTTGAGTTCTAACTTCTGGCTTTGGCCCCACAACCATTGCATTATTTATGGGATGAACCAGAGGAGTAGAACTCTCTCTCCATTAAATCAGTACATAATAAAAATTAATTATGTAAGTTAAAATGCATTGTTTGGTTAATAAGCTTTTGATTGGATATTATATCAATATGAATTGAGATATATTCTGTTCATCCCCTCCCTCAGGGAAATAATTTTATTTTAAGAAAACCAAAAGTTATGTGACAAATTAATGAGGTTAATGTGATACAGTGGAGGTACTCATTATAGTGAATAAACAGTTCAAAGATAAATTCAAGACAGTTCCGCTTTCTCTATAGTAGCATAAATGCCATATTTGATCTACATACAAAGCAATTCCAGTTTCTTTTTAAGAACTTAGTTGTATTTGAAAGACATTTGAAAAGCTTTCATGGAAATTATGATATTTATTATAACAGTTATACTACATAGGATTTGTTTTGGACAGAAACTTTGAACAAGATAAAAATAAAGGCAACAGATTTAGTTTTATTTTTATATTAGAACATTAATAAATGCTTATATCCTGTCATTCATTTGAACATTCCATTCCTATTAAATAGCTGAGTTTTCTGCTTATATCTGAAAAATGTTTATTTGATTTTGGATGGGTTTGATTTTTGAATGTGTAAGCAGAATTCTATTTTCAATATTACAATGAAAAAAGTTTGAGTAATTTCACATAATAAAAATAAACATTGTATATTTTATGTACATGCTATTTTAAGTATATTTTAAAATCTGATTATATGAAATGGAGGAAGATGTAAGATGTCAGTTAAAATGTATAAAATAATTACATGAGGAGAGATAATATTATGGAAAATTGCACTTCTTGAGTAATATCTGAGCTTTTAAATTTTTCCTAACTAAATGCTCTGAAATAAAACTGACTGTGAAAACATTTCCCTTTTATGACAAGGCTCTCACAAATTTTTTCTTTCCTAATTGACAACATGTAAATCATATTTCACTGTCTAATTGAATGAGTCATACTGTACTGTAGCAACACATTTTCTGGTTATTCTGTAAAGTAGCTGAAAACTTAGGAGTTACATTTTCACCTAACATTGAGAAGATTTATCTGAACTAATGCTATAATAAAAGTAATTCATATCTCATATCATTTTACATACCTTATCAAAGTGTTCAATCTTTCAAAACAATAAAAAGCAAGCCTATGAGAGTGAAATTTTCTGTCCCGTAAAGAGGGAAAATTAATCGTATATGTGCCATTCAGTGTTTACCATGTACTGGCTGCAAATCCAGCTCAGACCTTAATTTCATGCTGTCTGCTTCAATCCTGTATTGTATGTGGAAGTGATAAAATATCTTCAATAAGTGAATATATCATGTTTATACAACAGTTGAATTCTTTGGAATGATTTCATTTTTTTTAAAAATGTGACAATATGAAACTCATTCACTCTGAAGTACTCCTGGAAACTTCCTTTCTGATGTGAAACGCTGTGTCTCCACAATACAAATCAGAAGCTTTAGTCCCACTAGAATTCCTTTCTCTCTAGACGATTAATGAAGATACATATTCAGATCCATTTATACAATCTGAAACTTTTGTCCTTTTTACCTTTTATTTGGTTAATGTGAAACTCAACATTTTTCTGCAAAGGCAATTGACAATTGAAAGATTCACACTATTCATTTCAGAGAAAAAATCATAACAAGCTTAAAGTTTATTTGAGCCATTCTAATTCACTGAAATACTCTTTATTAAAATTTGTACCAGAAGTTGAGTTTTAAGTAAATTAAATTTTCCAATGCTCCATTAAAATAACTCCAAATATGGGCTTAACAATACCATAACAAGTCTTTTTTTTTGAGGAAGAACAAAATATTTCAGCATAAAAGCTCAAATCAGAAATTATTAATTAAATAATCTCACTACCATGATGAGCCAAAATTTTCCGAAAGGAAATAATAGATCAGAAATGGAACCT